AGACCTTCAAGAAAAGATTGGACTGCCATTTGTCAGAAATGGTGTAGGGTCTTCTGCTTGAGCGGGGGGTTGTACTAGATGACCTATAAGGTCCCTTCCAACTCTGTTTAATCTGTTAAAGTAGTCAGCTTGAATTCTGCACATGTGGCTTTGGTTGTTCATGACTGATAGAAGAAGACCCCATCACAACTAATTGCTTCCAAGGCACTTACTGTTATTTCCTGTTCAAGATTTCTTAGTTTTGTGAACTGCTTAGTTTTGGAAACATACTATTTTAATACAAGTAAATAGTGAGAACAGCCATTGTCCATTACTCTGGCCAGCGAAATCTTGCTGCAAAACAAAAGTGCTGTGGTTTTCCTGTTCCTGCAGATTCTTTCATTCAAAACCCCAGGTTCCTGCTCCATCTGGCTAAAAAAATATATTTTTCTTAAGCATCCTAACTTCTAGTTTCATTTTTACTGCTAAAAACTTCTGATTTTTTATTTTTCTAAAGGCCTTGTAGGAAAATTAAAACAGTGAGACACTCCAGTGCAATGCAATTTGGGAAATGCATCTAGAAAAGGACAAAGGGAAGCAGAGGAGCTAGAGAGAGAGAGAGACACCCCCAAAGTTTGCCTTCTGATAAATGGTCATTTTGTCATTAGTTGCAACAATCATGGCATCCAACACATATTCATGGTATCCACAATCCAAACTGTATCTATCTTTGCTGTAAAGGAATAGAACCTGTACAATAAAGTGAAAGCAGCAATACATTTAAGAGTTATTTAAAATTTAAAGTGTAGATGCAGCCCTCCTGTTGATGCACAGATAACTGCTACTGAGCAATGCCAGGAGCCAAGATTATTATCTGACTGAAGCAGGTCTGACTTAAAACCCTATGTTGTATCTTATGATTCTTGACGAATGTATCTTTTCTTTTATGTACACTGAGAGCATATGCACCAAGACAAATTCCTTGAGTGTCCAATCACACTTGGCCAATAAAGAATTCTATATATATATATATATATCTTGCCCCCAAAGCAAAGCCTGTCCATAGGCACTCTTGTCTTCCAGCATAAATATTGAAAAGCCATGGTATCTTCATTTTTCCTATTCCTAGACTTTCTTTCCCATAGTTGCCCTTCCTTTGTTACTGCGTGCAGTTTTCTAGTATTCTGAAACACTCTAAAGGATTGTTATAAGGACAGTAATGAAAATCAGTAAGTAAGTGGTTAATATTAATACGCTTTAATATTCATTCAATTCTCATATGTGGGTTACTTTAAAATTTCATTTCAGATTCAATATATAAATAGGAATTTCATATTAAAGTAGAATGCACTGGTCATACTAGGTAATTTCAGGCTCCCAGGTTCAATATTTAACAAATGCAGGCAAGTACAACTGCTTAAAACAACTTCCAGAGAAGTTGAAAGTTCAATTCCCAGAATAACACAACCATGGTCATTTAACTGTAACATATGTACAGAGTACCTGGTTAGGGAACATTATTCTGATGTTCAGACTTGATATAAGACAACTGACTAAGGATCTAATTCCTTTACCCACTAACAAGAACAGGAATATACCGTATTTTTCGCACTATAAGATGCACTCCCCCCCCAAAAAAGTGGGTGGAAATGTTTGTGCATCTTATAGAGTGAATATTGCGGCGGGGGGGTTTATCGCCACCGATCACCGATTGCTGGCGAATGGGCAGCAGCGGTGAACGGCGGTGGCGATAGGCAGCTGCAATCCCCGCCGCCTAGAACAGCTGATTGGTGGTATTCTGGGAGGCCGATCCAACCGCCAATCAGCTGCTTGGCCTCAAAGGCTCCAGCGTTCCCTCAGCTCAGTTGACTGATGGTGGGCGCAACGAAGCGGAGCCCTGACGAGCCATGTGCTGGGGCTGCGATAACGTGCTGAAGCTGACAAGGCTGTTTGCTGTTTGCTGAAAGGACGCTAGCCAGATGAATACCGGATGGATTCTGGGAGGCAGCTAGGCAGATTTTTTTTTCCTGTTTTCCTCCTTTAAACCTAATGTGTGTCTTATAGTCTGGAGTGTCTTATAGTGCAAAAAATAACAGTAGCTGTTTAAGGGCACAGAGGTGGTAGAATAATGCAGTTTTGCATATAGTTGGATGTTGAATAGCTAGTAGTTGAAAATACTAGTTGAGAGAATGCATACAATAGTGTCAAACTATATTAAAAGTAATCTATTTCAACCCTGCACCTTTGTTTTTGGCAATTACTATAATTTGTGGAAAGAGCATGGAAGAGACATTTTGTTTGTTTTTGGCTTTATTGTTTTAGTTGATGTTAATGGCAAAAATCTACTAACTGTATCATGAAGCAGACTGGCTTTGCTTAAACTGATCATCAGATTAGTTACTAGACATATTTCACAGATAGGTCCACCTCTTACCCTTTAGCTATAACTTTTCTAGCAATGAGTCACTTGCACTACACTATAATAAACAGGGTTCGCAATTGCTAAAGATCTGCTAACTTACTTTCATGGCAACATCTAGCCTAAATTAAGCTTTTAAAAAAGATTCTGGGAACACAATTTTCCAGAATATATATTTTTTCTTCTTCATCCTCCTTCCTATTTCTCAACCCTGAAAATTATAGTAGTTTTAATTTGAGTTATTGTTAAATAATAAAATAGGTGTCACAAATTGGAGTCAAGTGTCATGTTATTTAGTTAATGGAAATCCTGCTCTACAATTCAAAGGAGGTCTTGTATATTGCATTGTGTTTTTCTAGTAGAATCCATCTCAATTATCTTTAATACAATGTTTGAGTTGCTGCACACTTCTGACTTGTTTTCAGTAATACTGAGGTTTATGTAAATGCATTGTGTGGAATTAATTACCATCAGATGTGGAAATATAGATGGTTTTAAAATGAATTCATGGAAAATAAAGCTATATATGGTTTCTATTTTTGATAGTTCTTTACTACTTACTGGATCAAAGGTGGCATATATTTTAAATAATAGTGGCTGGAGAGCAGTAGTAAAAGAGGCTATTATCCTCTTTATTTTTTTCCTTTTAGTTCAATCAAGGCTGATTCTCAGAGTCTGCCTGGAAAAGCCACTTCGGTTTTCTTGGCAAGATTTTTGAGAAGTGGTTTATTTGTTTGTTTATAAAATGTTTTAGCTGTCCATCTTACCATAGGATAACTCTAGGTGGCTTACAGTTACATAAAAGCTAAAACATAAAAAGTTAAAAACAAACATTAAAAGCAAAGATATCTGGGCGGGGGAGGGGGAGGCAGAATCTGTTATTGATCAACCACCTCCATTGCGCTGTTCCCCCATTGGGGCTCAAGCCAACTGGCAAAGCCAAGTCTTTAGGCCCTTATGAAAAGATAGAAGGGTTGGGACCAAACTCACATCGGGGGGCAAGATGTTCCAGAAGGTTAGAACAACAGCATAAAAAGCTCTCCTCCAGGACCCCGCCAACCAGAATAATCAGGTTTGCCATTACCTCCTTTCAAGGGCTGAGAAAAAAATTAATTGGCCCAGCAGGCTTTGTGTCTAAGGTGGGACTAGAACTCACAATCTCCTGGTTTCTAGCATGATGCCTTAACCATGACACCAAACTCACTCTCACCATTCTTGTATCCTGATTGTAAACTATGTATATCTAGTTCTATGTCACAGAGTATTGGTTCAGGTGGGCTCTTCTAATGTGAATATATAATACTGATCAATGCCAAACACAGAACAAAGTCTTGGAATGATCCTGGGAAACATTTATGGAACATTCTGTTTCAGCACAAAGGGAATGTGGAAACATGAGCTTATATGAAAGCATTAGTGCATAGTGCTTTTTCAGGAAATAAAGCAAGTTTAAACTGTGGCAGTCCTTTCCTACTAATTCCATTTTGAGACTATAGATGTTCCAAATTGGTCTCCAGATTAGTAGAAAAAAAAGACTATATTTTAGAAGCAATCTTCATTTAGATATATTTTTTGATATAATCTAGGCACTTTAATTTTTAAAGTAATATGTATATTTATTAATTTATATTAACGTGTATCCTTAGAATTAAAAGGATGAGTTAAAGAATTAAATCACTTACTGAAAATATTGCAGATTATTAGCATATTTTGACTCTTCTGTCCTCTTTATTGGGATTGGGGTCTAATTTTTCCCTTATTTCCTCCAAATCCAGATAGATAAGATGCTTTCAATGTTCTGAAATATACTGAGATATATTTCTTACATGGTTATACTATAAATTATGGTAGTGATCTAACTTTAGAAACCCCTATTCCTAAAAGTAAAAAAATTCAAAGTGTTGAAATTAGCTTTTGAATAAAATAATAATATGAAAAGGACAAGAGTAGAATATCAAACATATGTGGGTTTTTTTGTTCAAGAAAGTACATTAGCATGGGAAAGTCTGATCTAAAAGCTGACTGGCAGCTTTCCATTTATTTGGACTAGATCTAAATGAATATGTGCAATTTAGATGGGATGTACTGATGGGATAAATCATCAAAATATGTCAATTGCTGTTTAGTTTTTATAGGACAAAATACACAATATGACAAAATACACAATATTTCCTTCTCAATCTTTATGATATCCTTTAAACATCCTTTTGTAGAACTGAAGAGGTAATAGATTTGAATGTTAAACATTAAAGTATCAGCTGTTCTAATCGAAATTCTACTTCTGCATTGCATAACCCTAACCCTTCATTGAATGATGTTTAAGGATAAATTGGTATCCCTAATAAAAATTAGAATATTGCTAAAACTACTACTACTTTGCATTTTTCTTTGTAGACTTTTTTCCAACTAGCAGTACTCCTCCCCTGTATTAATATACAGTGTTAGATCAGTTAAACAGTAATTGCTATTAATGTCTAGAGGATTTTGGCCGGCAGATTTGGTGTCTATGATTGTTTTGTTGTGATGGAACCTTATAAAAAGTATATTGGGCAAGTGCCAAGTTGAAAGTAATACAGCTTTCTTTCATTCTGTGTTTATTTCATCAATTTTTTAAAAAATAGATAAGTATGTTCTTCATATTGTAGCCTACTACACTCAATATTTACTTAGCTTTCCATATTCTGATAACTATTTAAATAGTGCAGAAGAAGTAATGCTTGATATAGCAGGAGCGGAAACTATGTATGTTCTTGAGGGTACCTGGCTGACAGAATCAGGTACCTTGCTGACTGAATCCAAAAATGCTGCTGTATATCGTCCTTTCTTCACCCAAATATGACCATTTGTGTATCTATGTGCACTGAAAGAAAAATGTGGAGAACTTAACAAAGTTATCAATTTCTTATCAAACTTGATTATTTTCCTTTTTTTGCCAGTTAATAGCTATCAGAGACGCCTCATTATCACAGATTATATACTTATTTTTTCACATTTTTGAACCGCCCATTTCCCTCAAAGATTGAATAGCATTTCATTGTCTTCACTACCATAATTAGTTATATGTGCAAAAACATTGTCTGAATTTACTGAGTTGATCCCAATAAGGTATTTGCTGTAATGAATAAATGTTTAGACTTCTCAAACATCATAAATGATGACATGTTCCTTCCTAGATAGCTACTTGACTAATCAAGAGATTTGGATAGGTGAAGTATTGAAATTGTTACTTTCCACATCTGAGATCTTAAAAGTTTTTAGAAATCTATTGCTTGCTTTTAGAATCATTGTCCTTTCTAGAGCTATACTAGGAAGCAATGGAACTGATAAGAATACTCCTATACTTAAGAAAAAAACATTTTAACATCATCTGAACTGTCCAGCCAGTACATGGTTCATAAATTCTAAACCAATGACATCACTTATGGATCCACATACTAAGAAGGAGTTGGATAAAGGAGTCTGTGATGATTTCAGCAGAAGCAATAGGAAAGTAAAGAGGAAATTTTTTAGCTTCCAACAAAAAGTTAATGAAGTGGGCAGTTTCAGAGTTGACAGGGTAAGAGGCATTCCACGGATCACCATAAAGGTTAACATTTCAATGTAGAGTGAATTATCCAGATGATTACCAAAAAGGAATCAAGGCATAAGTTAATCAGTTATGTTTCTAAAGAGAACTGAATATTGTCTAAGTTTTTTAATGAAGGGGCAGACAATTAATTTGAGCACACTTTAGCAATTTTTAGACAGGTCCAGAAATTGTCTACTCTACACTAATGCATATTGTATTTTGAACAGAAGAAAGCTATAGCAGGAGAGCAAAATAAATTGTAAATATTTTGGACAAATACTATAACTATCATCTAATATGTTCCATAAAAGTCATGCTTAGACATTCTCCTTGGGTGAATGTTAAAATAGGTTTTGATCGATGCAACTAAAAATGGAAAGAGCAATTGAATTTACAGATTTTAAATTACTTGATTAAAAGGACTAGATTAAGGAGAAAATATTCTGTTTATTTGCTAGATTTATATGTCACCCTAATCAATGGGGGGGGACTTAAATTTTGCATATTCATTATTATCATCATCATCATCATCGTATTGTACATGTCTTTCCATAGTAGGAAATCTGCAACAAAAATAACATAGTTAAAAGAGATGATAAAAACAGAGGCACCTAAACTAACAAAAGCAGATAACATAGGAACATGTAATCAAAGTCTTGTCGGAACAAAGTACACTGCTCAAAAAAATAAAGGGGACACAAAAATAAGACATCCTAGATCTGAATGAAAGAAATATTCTTAGTAAGTACTTTGTTCATTACATAGTTGAATGTGCTGACAACAAAATCACACAAAAATTATCAATGGAAATCAAATTTATCAACCCATGGAGGTCTGGATGTGGAGTTACACTCAAAATTAAAGTGGAAAAAAACACTACAGGCTGATCCAACTTTGATGTAATGTCCTTAAAACAAGTCAAAATGAGGCTCAGTAGTGTGTGTAGCCTCCACGTGCCTGTATGACCTCCCTACAACACCTGGGCATGCTCCTGATGAGGTGGCGGATGGTCTTCTGAGGGATCTCCTCCCACACCTGGACTAAAGCATCCCCCAACTCCTGGACAGTCTGTGGTGCAACGTGGCGTTGGTGGATGGAGCGAGACATGATGTCCCAGATGTGCTCAATTGGATTCAGGTCTGGGGAACGGGTGGGCCAGTCCATAGCATCAATGCCTTCATCTTGCAGGAACTGCTGACACACTCCAGCCACATGAGGTCTAACATTGTCATGCATTAGGAGGAACCCCGGGCCAATCGCACCAGCATATGCTCTCACAAGGGGTCTGAAGATCTGAGGATCTCATCTCGGTACCTAATGGCAGTCAGGCTACCTCTGACGAGCACATGGAGGGCTGTGCGGCCCCCCAAAGAAATGCCACCCCACACCATTACTGACCCACTGCCAAACCGGTCATGCTGGAGGATGTTGCAGGCAGCAGAACGTTCTCCAGGGTGTCTCCAGACCCTGTCACGTCTGTCACATGTGCTCAGTGTGAACCTGCTTTCCTCTGTGAAGAGCACAGGGCGCCAGTGGCGAAGTTGCCAATCTTGGTGTTCTCTGGCAAATGCCAAACGTCCTGCATGGTGTTGGGCTGTAAGCACAACCCCCACCTGTGGACGTCGGGCCCTCATACCACCCTCATGGAGTCTGTTTCTGACCGTTTGAGCCACCACATGCACATTTGTGGTCCACTGGAGGTCATTTTGCAGGGCTCTGGCAGTGCTACTCCTGTCCCTCCTTGCACAAGGGCGGAGGTAGCGATCCTGGTGTTGGGTTGTTGCCCTCCTCCACGTCTCCTGATGTACTGGCCTGTCTCCTGTAGCGCCTCCATGCTCTGGACACTACGCTGACAGAGACAGCAAACCTTCTTGCCACAGCTCGCATTGATGTGCCATCCTGGATGAGCTGCACTACCTGAGCCATTTGTGTGGGTTGTAGACTCCGTCTCATGCTACCACTAGAGTGACAGCACCACCAGCATTCAAAAGTGACCAAACCATCAGCCAGAAAGCATAGGAACTGAGAAGTGGTCTGTGGTCACCACCTGCAGAACCACTCCTTTATTGGAGATGTCTTCCTAACTGCCTATGCTTTCCACTTGTTGTCTATTCCATTTGCACAACAGCATGTGAAATTGATTGTCAATCAGTGATTTCACAGAAGTGTGATTGACTTGGAGTTACATTGTGTTGTTTAAGTGTTCCCTTTATTTTTTTGAGCAGTGTATTTTCTACTGTCAGAAAATCATGCAGAATGGGGAAAGACAGGCCTCCTTGGGAAGAAAGTTCTAAGGCAGCTCTTCTGATACCACTAAGATGCCAAAATTCAGGAGGGGTCTGGTAGCACCTTTCTGAATAAAAGTTAAAATTTATTAAAAGGCATAAGCATTTGCAAGCTGCAGTCTCATTTCATAGAGACTGATATAGCTGATATTTTTGTTAGTCAGAAAAAGTGCTATCAAGCTCCTTATTTTTTGACATTGTAGACTACAAGGCTTAAGAAGCCCAAGAAAAGCTTCATCTGCAAGTCAGATTACATAGATTACACATGTAATCTATCATATAACCTTGCTCAAAATTATTCAGCGTTTTAAAGACGTTCTGCAAAAACAGGCAGAAAGTTCTTTTCTCTTTGATTGCAAAAGATTATGAACTAAATTTTCTGAAATAAGTATATTCTGCTGACATATCATTTTTCATTTAAGTTATTTGATTTCTGTTTCAAATACTAAATCCTGAAGTCATTTAAACAGCATGGCACCTTGGGAATGAGTGGTTTTTGTTCAAGAAAAAAGAAAAGAAAAGAATTTCAGCTTCTTCCATGCAGTGGAGGTTCAGAAAGCATAAAGCCCAACCTAATCTTTTAAGAATTGGTCCTCACATTCAGGCTGATCAAAACAAATGTATAACAACAAAAACCCTTGTGATCACAAAGCATCCAGTAGCAACATTAGTATTATTTTCCTTCAGTTGGCCTTCCACTTTGAGCTATAAAATCCCAGCTCACTCCAGATGCTAGAGCACTTCTTTAACTGGTTCTTGTCACAGAGCAGATTTCCAGGGCTCCCTGATAGTGAGACTTTTTAGATGTATATTTTAATACATTCCTATTCACTCACCATGCAGCATGGTTATGAGAACTAATTAGTTCATGTTTATACAGCACTTGGAAACTGTAATGCCCTATTAGGTTCCAGTCTGTGCCTGATGCATGAGGAGAGCTCCCATTAATGTTAATGGAGGTTATAGATGTTTCTGAAGCAGTGAGTATGTGTGCTAAGAATAATTATGCTTATTAGTACATTTCATAATGTTACTTGATCAGCCTTTTGTAATTTAACTTAATTGTTTTCATTTAACTCTAACTTACCATATTAAACTTCTGCTTTATTCTGAATCCTCTAATGTACAAGATACAACATGTCTGATAAACACTATGAAGAAATAATATCTTCCCCACTACCCATTTCTTGGTGTTTTCCTTGTGTAACTTTTCCACAATCTTCTTTGTCCAAGTGACAGGATACCTTTCTGGCTATGAATGCAGGCAGGCAACACCTAGTTCCAAATCATATTTGATTACCGTTAATTACAGTGCTGTCATATAGAAGGAGAGAGCAAGACAGCTGGCTTTGTCAAATCACAATGAAATAGCCTACTGTCTGTCTGCTGACTTAATAGCTTTAATTGCCAGTGAATAATCTAGATTTGGTGGATGTGTTTGAACATATCAGCAGGCACCAAATATTTCAATTAAGAACAGGCTGTGTAACAGCCTTTTTTTTTTGTGGTAGGAATAACTGAGAAGTAATTTTAAAGCTCATAAAAGAAAGCCCATGAACCAGGCAGGGTCTTGTTACTTTACTTTGTTAAGCTATATGGAATGGGTGAAGAGTCTGTTCATATTAACCAAATATGCCTTCTTTCAGATCTCTTGGCAAGTCCTAGCTCTAGCATAATGATGTTGAAATAACAGTCTAAAGTAGACACTGGAGAACAAGAAAACAGTAAATGTAGAAAAAATGAGTTTGGATGAGATGCACTTCAGAATTCATTGAGATATAGTTCCTATTATATTTGTCCTAGGGCATAAACATTTGTCTAAAAGTATTCATAAGAGATGCCTATTAATATCCACAACTTCTTCAGGAAGCTTTTTCTATACTATAGAATTGCATAATTGGGGGGTTGGGGCAGGGCAGGGCTGAGGGCTATGTTTTGTCTTTGAATGAAATGCTGGAGGCTGCATTCCAAAATGTAGGCAGGCAAAGAACATGAAATAGGTGGGGACTGAACCAAAACTTAATTTGATTGAACTTTGATTAAACTTTAATTAAGTAATTACATTTAATAGGATTATGCATGCTTCGAAAATGATTCAGAAGAATGGCTTCAGACCATTTGTGAACATAGCACCTCATTGCTATTCATTAAAGCAACCCCTCCTTTTTCAGGCTACTCATTCCAGTTAATGTGTCCCTTAAAGCAGTCACACCTTTTCTGAGGCTCATGGGGATGCCTGAAAAAGGAGGGGCTGCTTTAATGAAAACAGGATGGTTCTTTCCTTGCATAAGTTCCAAAACTTTTCATCTGAATCATTTTTGAATGTGCAGTATGGTGATATTCTTGTGTGTTTAATATCTCTACCTTGTGTTACATTAACATTCATAATTCAATTTGTATAGGTTCATTAATCTGGTATAAGATTAGGTGTAAATGTTATTCATGTGTAAACTCTAAGAATCAAAAAAATAAAAGCAAGAATTCCAATCTCTGGAAATTATTTGTTACTTATTTATATTTTGTTTATTATGCTTACCTATATGCTATATACTTTTGTGATTCTATTTATGAGAAATTATACCTACAAGATGATTTTATGTATAATCTTTTAGTGATATATGGCTACATTTTTTAAAACACAAATCATTAATGGTCTAAATTATACCTTTTCAGATCATAGTTTAACTAAAGAATAAATGGACAGCTTTCATATTGAAGACCTCTCTGGCCTTTACCCAGTGTTGAAAAATATTGTTTTTCTTTTAATTGTCTGTATTTGATTTCAAAATGCTAAAACATTAGGTAAATATGAACTAGCCAATCTAAGCAGTGAATTAAAATGAAAGCAGTGTGGTTTCCCTAGGGAATTATGAAATATGCAGGGAATGGCTATTTCCAAGCAAACACACTTAACTCAGAAATGATGGGCTTGATTCAAAGATACCACGTCCAATTGAGCTGCCTTTAAGAATTCCCCCTTCTGCATCCAGTTTTCAGAATAGTCTTGCTTAGGCAACAAATCTTACCAATATATTCTTTTTATTTTTAAAATATTAAAATACTTAAAATATTAAGTATGACTTATTCTGCTTAATGACCAGGCATGGGTGCATGAATTTGTAGCCATACCAGAAAATATAAGAAAGAGAAAAGCAAAGGTTTAACAAAAAGTACTCGTGACAGCCCCTGTGTTAGTATTTCCATTTTTAAAATTTCCTCTTTTTCTGCTGCACTTTTTATTCTTTTATCTCGAAACTTTCTTCACAAGGTTAATATTCAGTTATGGAAAAAACTATTGCAGTTTCAGCAATGAATAGATGCTAATTTATACATATATACCTACAAGCTGAATATCTAATTAATGACTTTCTATGCCACTCACAAACATAAAAAAATATCTTTTTTTGATTCTATTATTATTGCATTGGGCCTTCCTAAGCTTCAGAAAAATTTAAACTGTGATTTAAAAAAAAAAATTTTAATACTTTGCCTTTCATTCACTATGTAACTCTGAAATGTATGAAAAATGATTTGTTTTGTTTTTACTAATGAATTGGGAAATGAGCATCAAGGAATTATTTGCCTTCTTAATTTATAGCACATATAGTTAGGATTTCTAAGGGAGGCATGGTGAATTGAAAATGTCTCCACAAAGGTGGAGCCAACTACTGTGGCAAAGACCCAAGAACTGATGAAGAGACGGGTTCTTTGGAACCTTTTTTTTAAAGGAGAGGATGAGAGATCACCTACCTGTGCTCCAGATAGCCGCTCCCGGAGACTGCAGGACAACTGTTAGAAGTGAAAGAAAGGAATATAGGATTGGTTTTTTGATCAAAGTTAAAATAAGACATTTATTTGCAGAGTTCTGGCAGCCTATCAGCTTTTTCAGGTAGACCAGACAGGAAACTCAATGAGATGAGCTTATTTTATTTTATTATAAAGCTACCTTAGTAGAATCTTGCACCTTGCACAAATTTTCCACGGTCTCTTTTATAGACTAGTATGTTAGGGAAATGTTTGCACTTTTCATTCTTTCTTATTCTTTTTTCTTTATTTCCTTAATTTGTATTTTTTTACTATTGTAATCAAAATCCTTAATAAAATTATATGCAAAAAAAATCCTACTTACAATAAGAAGGAAGATAACATCTTTTTAACTTTTTCAATGAAAAATCAAGAAAATATTTTGGTTCAAAGAAAAGAGTTCTTCCCATTGAAAGAATATCTCTATGTACCTATTAATATTTTTATTTGAGGGGGTTCTATATGGTTTTAATGACTTGAAATGGAAAATAAAATGGAAGAAATTTATAATGGTGTCCATCTTTCTCTGGGAGATTGCCACTTCATAGCCAAGCCTACTTCAGCATCCTTGAACTGAGAAGCATTTGAGCTTATCTTAATACAGGGTAGCTGAATTTCTTGGATGAGGATATTATGGATTTGGTATATGATTGTACTGGAACATCATATTTGTGGCAATTGATAATTTACCTACATATTTTTGGGGGCCTATTTTTTAAATTTTAAGAAATGGCAGCTGTATACTTAACTGTTCCTATCCACAATTTATCCATGCATCCATCATTTACTATTCTATGAGCCTATAAGTTAATTTTATTAATTTACTAATCCTTTAGAAGTTTCTCCCATACTGTGAAAGACCAGTTAATGAGAGATATGAGCAAACAGTGGAACAGCCTCCTCCTGTTCTGCCTATCATAGTCTCTTTGTGGAAAGAAAATACAGCCACTGGCACAGAGAAGAAACCTGTGATAGTATCAGATATGTTCACACAGTGGTCACACAGAAAAGCCTGAGATCTGCATTGAATTCTTGTTAGGGAAGACACAATTTCTGAAGTGGCTCTTGGCCTCTAGGCCTTGTACATAATAGCATTAAATAATAACATCAGGGTATGAAGCGATACCAGAGAGGATTCAGATGGAGGTTTAAGGCTGCAGTTCTGTACATACCTGGTTGATAGTACAATTTGAGTATGACTAAACATATGTAAAATTTCATTATGAATATAGTCATACAAAAATCTGCTTTCCACTTGTTGCAGTCCTAACATGAAGGCAGATACTCACTCTGCTCTAGGTGACAGATTTAAGGCAGAAGGAACATAAACCCCCCTCATCCAAACTACTATATAACAGGAATTACTCAACTGCCTAGTCAAGGAAAAATGCTGTTGTAAACCTAAAAATATTGTATTGAGATTTCACTACAATAACATAATCTTACAAGTCTGATTGTGCTGTCCTGGCTTTCCTTCTTACACTCTAATGAATTAGGATCAGAGGTGAAATGCTACCAGTTCACTCCGGTTTGGGTGAATCGGTAGCGATAAAAACTACCGGTTCGGGCAAACCGATAGTAAAAAAAGCTACAATCTCACGGTTTCTTGCTTTCTAGCGAAGCTAAACTGTGCACCACAGCTGATCCCCCCCCTTGCAGTTCTACTTACTTTCCAAAGACTCCTTTTGGCGCGTACTACACATAGGAAAATGAAAATGAAAAAGTTCATTTTACAATAATGTTAATCTGTAACGTAGCAAAAGTCTCTGATTTGCATTTTCAATATCAACCTCTGTTAGAATGTTATAATGGTTTTTTTCTGTTTTTAAGATTTATATAGTTTTTAACTAAAATACTTGAGATAGACTGCATCTAGTACAGGTAGTCCTTGTTTAGAACCACAATTGGGACCAGCAATTTAGTTGTTAAGCAAAGCAATCTCTAAGTGAAACTATGATTTGTTTATGATCTTATATCAGCTTCTCTTTACTTTACAGACCCTTAAAATTCATAAATGTGAGGATTGATTGAAAGTTCCTTTTAATCATTGTTGTAACTGCTAATGGTCACTATACAAGGCAGACACTGAACACGAACTACCTATATATAAGTAATTAGAATACTAGAATTGTTAGGTGGGTTCAGGTTTCAAACCAGGCTATTGCCAATGTTTCTTACAGCTTTTAGCTTCTTGTTGCACTGAGAAACACTAATATGTGGAGGAAGAATTTTTTCCTTAACTAAATAACCTTCAGGTAGTGTGGAATAGAGCTTCCATTATGACCAATAATAATCAGAAACATTTGTGTGCACAACAGATTATGGGAAGTCCAAAGAGGAATTCCCAAAGTTTCATAAACTTTATGAAGCCTGTATCATAATGTTCATTTAGAACATTTATACGTAAGAGTTTCTACACATTTTCCTTCCATTTTGTAATGTAAATTGTAATAAATTATTAGGGCTCCTTGGTTCCATTTGTCTGTTTAGACTATTGAGCATCATGTTATACTAACAGCAGAGTATTCATTTCATGTTTTCTTTCTCAGAATCTTTGCAGAAAATTTCAGTACTCTTTTATTTATGAGATTTCTAACCATTTCAACATTGTAGGATTTATCAGTGATGTAACTATTAGTCACATTTTTAAAAAGGCTGGAAGAGAGAGTTTAAAAGACATCTGGCATTCAATATAATTTTTTTAAAATGATGATCAAATTTAGTATTTCAGTTAACTAAACAAAATAACTAAATTTCATTTAGTTTAAAAAAAGAAATCCTGAATATTCTGGGCTTGCAACTGTATTTCATGTCATTTTAAGATAGGGCATTACACTAATTGAATTAACCAAACAACAAAATAATGTCGGGTGACAACTATAAAATATACAAAATATGGCAAGATAGATAATAGGAAAACAGTGCAAAATCTTCTGTGAACCAACATAACAGGGAGAAAGATAACCTTTATAGTGGAAATGGCTCCTTCCCCCACAGCTTTGCTTACGTCAACCATTAAAATAGCAACATCAAGAACAAAGCTCTATTGGTTAATGAAAGAGAAGGTGAAGAGAGAGGGTGAGAGAGTCTACTCCAAGTTGCACTGATCAAATCCTCTTTCATGATAACCAGGCCACCTTGTTAATTTCTGTCGAAAAAGTGCAAAGTTTAAGCTGAAAAATCATAGTGCTTCCACTTATGTTTCTCCTAGTTTGCTTGCGTCGGCTCTGTGGTCACTTTTAGCCATGTCAGCATGTTGAAAATTGCTGATGGTAAACACCAGAGGTATGTATGCACAATACTGAAGAGACCACAAAGAATATAGCCTTGGGGGAAATAGTAGATTTGTTCATATACATGCTATCTTGATTTTCTTTTCTTTTTTTGTAAAGACTGCTGAAAAATATTTCAAGTACAGATTTGGGGCTGTGTAGTGTAGACGTTTTTAGTTCATTTTCTTTACTAGAAGAACAAACTGAAATATAAGAAAGTAAGAGAACAAGAGAGCAATTCAGATTTCAGGAGTTTGAGCCATTTGTGTGGACTGCAGTAATAGATATATGCACATGTAATACTTGGAGAGACATGTTGCAAAATGTGCTATAAACAAGAAGGTAATAGATAGCTACTTATTAACAATACACAACTAATAATCACATTCCAGTTAATGGACTTATAAAACAATATTCATATTGCATTAATTTTCTATAGTTACATTGCCTACCTCTTTATTCCCACACCTAATATGAGATGCATTTAGACTTTGGTCTCTAAAGACCTAAACAATTTAGGACTATTTTACTTCATGTAGTAACCTGACTTTCCATTTGATCACTGAGACTGGCATCCTTGTCCTTAGTAACAAGCCTTTGCAAAAGTGGCCCCACTTGGAATCGCCTTGGAATTTTCTTCACATGGCATTACCATGTGATTCCTTCTGATTAGTGTAGAAGAACCCCAAATTAGTGAGAGTTATTCATGCACTGATGGGCCATGATGACTCAGTGGTTAAAGACACTGAGCTTGTCCGCTGGACAGCTAACAGCTCAGATTCGAGACCCAGCACAATGCGACAAGGTGAGCTCCTGTTCCTTGCCCTAGCGCCTTCTTACTGTTGTACATGTAATATGTATTATATTTTGCATTATAATCACATAGTTTGGCTATTTTATATACTCTGGGAGTGTTTATGTCAGATTCGTTAAACATTAGCGTCCGTTCACTTATAACATTTAAATGGTGTTCTCTGCCCTCACCCATAAATTTAGACAGGTTGGAGAAAGGTGTTTAAGTGGTGGGGATGAAGAATATGTGTAAAATAGCATTGAAGTTCTAATTTAAACTTCAATTAAGGCATCAGTGCCTGTATCTTAATCTGTCCTTCAATCTCCCTTATGTGATAAAGATGTGAAGGATCCTTGATGCTGTCTCAGCTTGCTTGTTTTCTTGCAGACATTTCATTACCCAAAGTAGGTAACATCATCAGTGCAAGTATGTTGTTTTGAAGCATATTGTGTAATACAGATACCCTGACATAAATTATATGCAATAATTTAAAGCAATCTGGTCACACTTTGACAATACAAAATGATTTAGGTAGAAGCTCCAGAACACACCACAAACAGATGAATAAACCAGTCGATGGGAGTCCCAAAGTCTTGTTAGAATTAATAGGGTTTTACCATTGGCTCTACTATAGGTGAGCAGAGCAATATGGTGTCATATAAGAAAAGGCTTTTCTATGGTACCCATCTGCTACACTACCATTACTGGTAGGGTAGTCCTGATTTTGGCTTCTGCTCTTATGCAGGTTAGTTTCTGGTTCAACAGCTTCAGGCTTTGAAGGCCAAAACCTGGACCTTCCAGTGATACGGGGATGAGATAGGAAACCATCTATCAACCAGAGAAGATGGCATCTTACTTTAGATATACCTTTTTCTAAATGGTATAGAAGCCATTTTGTAAGTCTTTTTGCCATGAGGACT